CGAGCTTCGTCGGAGCTCGTCGGAGCTCCTCCGCCGTCGGAGGTTTGGTTTCCACCCCCAAATCTAACAATCTCCCACTTGGAGACCAAACCGACGTCAACAGGCTATCTCATCAAGCTCCTCTCCTGTGTGGCTCCGCCCTCATCATCTATGCGTGAAGGCCAACTGAAGTTGCGCACAACTCCAGTTTCTGAATAGTCACCGTCTTTGTTAACATGTCTGTTGGATTCTTACTTCCTGGAATCTTTTCCAGTTTTAACACGTCATCTTCCAACATGGATCTGATGAAGTGGTACCGAAGCGCAATATGCTTCGTTCTAGAATGAAATGCTGAATTCTTCGCCAAGTGTATCGCACTCTGGCTATCACTGTGCAGAACATTCTTCTCCTGTTTGAATCCCAGCTCTGTCAACAAACCCTGAAGCATATCATCTCTTTGCTGGCTTCAGTCACTGCAATATACTCAGCTTCTGTAGTGGATAGGGTAACGATCTTCTGTACTTGTGACATCCAACTAACAGCTGTAGTTCCGATGGTGAACACATATCCAGTTGTACTTCTTCGGTGATCGACTTCACCGCCGAAGTCTGCATCTACGTATCCTTGCACTTCCACTTCTCCCTTACCAAAGTGCAAACACTTCTGTGTGGTGCCTCGTAGATATCTCAGAATCCACTTGACCGTTTCCCAATGAGCTAGCTTTTCCTGGATTCGACATAAACCGGCTGACCACTCCCACTGCATGGCCAATGTCTGGTCTTGTACAGACTATTGCGTACATCAAGCTTCCGATGGCTGAGGCGTAAGGGACCTTAGTCATACTCTCTTTCTCTTCGTCCGTCTGAGGAGACTGATCCTTCGATAGGCGAAAATGGCTTGCCAATGGTGTGCTCACTGGCTTGGCGTCACCCATGTTGAATCTCTGCAAAACACGGTTGATGTACTCCATCTGAGATAACTGCAAGAGACCTCTCTTCTTATCTCTCGTGATTTGCATTCCAAGGATCCTCTTCGCTGGACCCAAGTCCTTCATGTCAAACTCCTTTGACAGCTGCTGCTTCAAACTCCTGATATCCTCCATATCTGCTCCTGCAACCAATATATCATCAACATACAGCAGTAGGATGATATAACTGGATTGATATCTTTTGAAGTAGCAACAGTGGTCGGCGTTGCACTTCTGGAAACCTTCCTTGTGCATGAAGTCGTCAAACTTCTTGTACCACTGCCTTGGGGCTTGTTTCAGGCCATACAAGCTCTTCTTGAGTCTGCACACCAGGTTCTTCTTCTTTTCTTCTGAGAAACCTTCTGGCTGGTGCATGTATATCTCCTCTTCTAGATCTCCGTGAAGAAACGCCGTCTTCACGTCTAACTGCTCGAGATGAAGATCTTCAATTGCTACAATACTCATCACGGTCCTGATAGTATTTAGCTTCACCACGGGAGCGAAAATATCGGTGTAGTCAATTCATTTCTTCTGCTGGAAACCTTTGACAACCAGTCGGGCTTTATATCTTCTGGAACCATCCTGCTCCTCTTTTACCCGGTACACCCATTTGTTGTGGAGGGCCTTCTTACCCGTGGGCAACTCAGCTAGTTCCCACGTCTGATTTGAGATGAGGGACTTCATCTCATCTTTTATAGCAAGCTCCCACTTGCTCGCATCTCCTCCCTGACAAGCTTCATCATAGCTTTCAGGCTCCGCACCGTCTGTCAGCAACAGATAGTTCATATATCTCTTGTTGGGTACAGGAGGACGAGAAGATCTTCTTAATATTGGAGCTGGTGCGTCGAGCTCCTGCGCACCATCTTGTCCAACAGGTTCTTCTGGCTGAGGACCTTCTGCATTGGGTTCTTCCAAGAGGTTACTCGGGACATCATCTGCATCTACAAATATTGACTCGCTCTCTGAGTCATCTGTCTTGTGCATGTCCTTGTACATCACCTTCTCGTTGAATATCACATCTCTGCTCCTGATCACTTTCTTGTTTTCGTTGTCCCAAATGTGGTAGCCGAACTCATCTTCACCATAGCCGATGAAAGTGCATTTCTTTGACTTGGGATCAAGCTTATTCCTGCCTTGATCACTAATATGCACGTAAGCTACACAACCGAAAACTTTAAGATGTGAGAGTTTTACCTCCTTTCTGCACCATACCTCCTCTGGTATTCTGTGCTCCAATGGAACCGATGGACCTCGGTTGATCAAGTAAGCTGCTGTGTTGACCACTTCTGCCCAGAACTACTTCGGTAGGCCTGACTGCACCCGAATGCTTCTGGCTCTCTCTGTCAACGTTCGGTTCATCCGTTCAGCTACACCATTTTGCTGAGGCGTGTCGGGCACGATTCTCTCCATTCTGATCTCGTGCTCATAGCAGAACTTCTTGAATCATGTGTCTTCATACTCACCGCCATTGTCGGTCCTGAGCTTCTTTATTCTCAGACCGGTCTTATTCTCGACCATAGCTTTCCATCTCTTGAAAGCTTCAAATACTTCTGACTTATGCTTCAGAAAGTAGACTCACACTTTCCGAGAGTGATCATCGATAAAAGTCACGAAGTAGTGTTTTCCACCAATAGACGCGGTGGTTATTGGTCCCCACACATCTGAGTGAACAAGCTCTAGCTTCTCTTTCTTGGGGGTTCTGCCACTTGTCTGAAAGCTGGCTCTCTTCTGTTTTCCAAGTATGCATTCTTCACACATATCCATCTCCACTGACTGTAGTCATGGGAGTTTTCCCTTTGTGTGCATGATTTTCATCCCCTTCTCACTCATATGACCGAGTCTCTGGTGCCACAGCTTTGAAGTCTCATTGCCTGCTGCAACTGAGATCAAACAACGTGCACCTGCTATCATATATAGGGTATCAGTCTTCTTGCCTCGGGCAATCGTCATTACGCCCTTTGAGATCTTCCAATCATCTCCATGGAAGGTCGTGATGTATCTTTCGTCAGCCAACTGGCCTACGGATATTAAGTTCTTTCTCAGGTCGGGAATATGTCTGACGTCCTTCAGCTCCCATACTGACCCATTCAACTTAATTTTTACTACACCTTTGCCTACAATAGCACACGGTTGATCATCACCAAGATATACGTATCCAAGATTTTCGGGAACATACTTCTCGAAGAATTCTCTCTGAGAAGTAGCATGGAACGACGCTCCTGAATCTAACACCCAAGATTCCTCCTTACTCTCCAAAGAGCATATCAATGCGTCGTCTCCTCCTGAGGTGGAGGTGACATTCACCTCTGCCTTCGCCTCCTTCTCCTTCTGTGCACTCTTGCACTGATTTTTGTAATGTCCGGTCTTTCCACAATTCCAACACTCGATAGCCTTCGAGCTGTTATTTGGATTCCTTGATTTGGACCTCCTGTCCTTTGATCTACCTCTGTAGTTTGATTTGCCTCGTCCGTTCCCTCTGGTTGAATTTCTACCTCTTGACTCTGTATGCAATACTGAAGAGGTTGTACCTTCACCCGACTCTCTTCGTCGAATCTCCTCACTGAGAACCAAATCACGAACGTCGTCGAACTTCAACTTGTTGTTTCCTGACGAGCTACTCACTGCCGTGACTGTAGCGTTCCAACTCTCTGGTAGGGAAGACAAAAGTATCAACGCCCGAACTTCCCCATCAAACTCAATTTCAACTGAACTCAATTGGGTTATGACCGTGTTGAGTTCATTGAGGTGTTGTGCTACTAACGCGCCTTCCGCCATTCTCAGATTGAATAACCGCCGCATCAAATGAACTTTATTTACGGCTGATGGCTTCTCATACATATTTGAGAGAGCTGCCATAAGACCCGCCGTGGTCTTCTCCTTCGCTATGTTGAACGCAACATTACGAGTCAACGTCAATCTGATAACTCCGAGAGCTTGTCTATCTAGAAGGTTCCACTCATCTGTCTTCATAGAATCTGGCTTCTTCCCCGATAGTGGTTGATACAGATTTTTCTGATACAGATAATCCTCTATCTGTATTTTCCAGAATCCGAAATCTGTTCCATCAAACTTCTCAAGTCTTATTTTTCCTTCATCTGCGGTCATGGCTCCCACTTGAATCTGACTTTCTCTAGATCGTTTCACGCTCTGATACTAGTTATTGGGAATTTAACGCCGAAATCCCTAATGCAACAGAAACGTAGAATAGAAAAAGTACACCAAGTTTTAACGAGGTTCGGCAACTGCCTACGTCCTCGGGAGCCACACAGTAAATTTCTTATTAATCAAACAAGAAATTACAATTCAAGAGCAGATCTCAAACTGAGATCTCTCAATACAAACACTGTAGCTACAGTGTTAATAATCAAAGGGAATAATCCCTTTCAATTCTCTCTTGAGAATAAAGAATATTCCACAATAAATCCCCTCTTTAATTCTCTCTTCTTAAATCCTTTTCTTAATCTCCCATCAAAACGCGGTTGAGAGCTGGAGATTGGAACTAAAATCGCTGCTGCGATTTCAAGGCTGGAGATGATGAAGAAAAAACGCTGCTGTGTTTTTGTCCGCCGCCAGAGAAAGATCGGGGGAAAAAAAGCAAACCCTAGGGCATCGAGGGGGGCCCCCCCCCCCCCAGCCACGCGAGCGCACAAGCCCGACGCGGGGGTCGGAGCGCCAAAACGCGAGGGTCGGAGTGCCAAAAAAACGCCGAGGTCAGGGGGGGCGCTCGCACGCAGAGCTCGAGCTCGCCTGCGACTATGCCTGCAGCTTTGCCTGCGCCATCCCTCGAGCTCGCCGGAGCTCCTCGCCGGAACCGTGGTTTGATCTACACCCCATTCCAACATTTAGCTCTCAAAGAAATTTTAGATGTTTCCTAGAGTTCATATGGGGTTTCGTGCAATAAAAAGAAAAGTTCATGGGCTTATGTGCGAGACTCCCCAAAGTTTAGGGGCTTTGTGAAATCAATCCTTTTTTGTGATATTTTTAAACAAAGCCCCCAAACATAGTGATATTGTAAGATCTACCCAAAAAAAAAAGGGGGAGGCAGAGGGCAAACCTAAGCTTTGAATCAGTTGAAAGGCGAAGGGAAGGGTACGGGGAATGATTCTATGGTGGAGTTCCATGGGCTTGGACCTTGCATCGATGATGGACTGACCAAACTCCTTCACATCCCCTAACAGAAATTTGTACGGACGGCCCATTAGGCCTTGACTCCTCATCATCTTCTCCATCATTTTGGGCCTCCACCACAAACTGTAAGCCCCTCTTAGAATCAAGCAGGAGAGCAACAGCGAGGAGATCATGCTTGTAACCAAGTAGAGATCGACCATTTCTTCTCCCCCTTTTTTTTTGCTCAAGAGCGCGTGTTAATTTGAGAGTGAGAGAGAGGTTTAAGTGCAAATGGTGACCAAAAGGGTTCCCCTTATTTTTATTTTTAATAAAATGATTTTTCCATGCGCGTGCCTTGCAACGTGGGGGGTTTAGGCAATTAAATATTCAATATTATTATTTGCAAGGGTGAGGTCCGCAGAGCAGGTTGTGTTATAATAAGGGGGTGTTTGTTCCAAGTCCTATAATTTTAGGATATGGATTTTATCATGGGATATCGGGTTTTAAATTCATAAGTATTTTGTCATGGGTTAGGATTTCTAACATGTTTTCTGTTTTATTAATATTTTGGGATTTGGAATACTACAATTTGTAATATTTTGTTTGTTTCAAGCTCAAATTGTAGCAATACCAAATGCCAAATTTTTTTAATATGACGAATATGCTATCTTGGTGAGGTTACCACCCACAAAAAAACAAATTTAAGATATGTCAAATCCTCTCTAATTGAGAGGTAAGTACACTCAATTATGAGATTTGTCAAAATCCTCTCCAATTGAGAGGATTTGACAAATTCTAAAAATTGGGCACTTTTGGGATTTAATATTCTAAAAATTTTCTTAAAACAAACACCATATGTGGAATCCCAAAATACAAAAAAACAAACACCATCATCTATTGTTTGGATTTTTATGATTTGGACCATATAATAGTTTGAACATACGCCGCCTCAGCAATACACCAACCAACGCCTTGGAGGGACACGTCAAAAATGATTGGCAGCAGTTAGTGTGTCCCTTTGCCATGACGAGTAGTGTGTCACCGACATATTCAAGCAATCGGTTATGATTTGCGCTTGTTGATGGTTTGGGCTATGGCGATCTGGATGTGTGCCAATTCACCAACACACCAGCCCGATTTACTCAAATACATAAACTCTTACAGACATATCTGTAAGAGCGTCCCACCGAGGCACGGAGTTGACTTAACAATCTGAGAACTCGGATTCATCTCAATTTGATACAAGAACCACAGTTAAAACAAGTTCTTCACACACAAAAACATTGAGAATGTCAAACGAAAATCAACCCCTCACAATTGGTGTAAGAGAAGTGGAGCACTGTGCTGCGGTTGCAGTGTAATAAAACTGAGAGGAGAGTGCACATAGGAGGGTGAAAGTTCAAAGAAGAAATGCTGAGGTATATCATCACCAGGGTAATCTTTGCTTCAATCAGTGCAAAATTTCGTCCAATGCAAGTTTTTGGTCCCCATCCAAAAGGGATAAAAGAGAACTGCTTGCTTGTTGCCTTGAGCACTCCATCTGAGAATCTTTCAGGTTTGAATTCTTCGGGATCAACACCACCTGGAAATGAGAAACCCCCGACTGTTGTTTCATTGAAGAGATGTCGATGCTGAGCAGGTATTGGCGGATATAATCTTAGAGCTTCACGTAATATCATATTTACCTGCATCAACAATTTATATGAGGAAATCAAGAAGAATAGCACATCGTTATCTATATAAACTACGTAGTCTAGTCAAAAGAACATCAATAGTTACGACTCTTAATGAGGGAAAAAGGAAAAAAAAGGAGGCTGATTAGGGGATAGATCCCCTTAGTATCGTCGTTTTGAATTTACTATTCCGCTAGTTTTATTTTTACAGATAGACCCTGAATGAATTTTTTTTACTCTTTTACCCTCAGAGGAAGAGAAAAATCCTTAAGAGTAGTAAAGTAAAAAATTTCTCTCTGGGGGTCTATTCGCAGTTAACCCAAAAAAATATAGGACAAACTATCAAACTAGATGTCCTAAGTTGGCCAATTCTTTCATAATTAATTTTTTGAAATGTAGAAATAGTTACTCACGGTCTTAAGTTGGCCAATTCTTTCATAATTGGGCATTTCCCTCCCACAAATCTCCTGCACTTCTTCTCTTGCTCGGGTTTGCCGAGTTGGGTGCATTGACAAGAGCACTATTGTCCAAGCGAGCAGCACAGAAGCAGTCTGATGGCCAGCAAAATAAAATAGTTTGCCTTCCTCAATCACCTCATCCATTGCTAGGCGTTTCACGTTTCTTTGTGCTTGTTTGGTCGGGCTTAGCATCAAGCCTAATAAGCCCTTGCAATTGCATTTCCCCGGTTTCATCGCTTGTTCATTCTTCTGAATCAAATCTTTGAGCATAATTTTGATCTCTTTGTTGACCTGATATCTTCTCAGGTTATTTTTCGTTGGTATGAACCTAAGTCCCGCAATTAGTACGTCTTAAGGGTTTGGAAACAAAAGTTGATACACAAGTTGCTTTTTGTTCATAAATTTCACTAGTAACTAACCAAGCATTGATGTATTGTGCTTAATGGGTGTGAGATAATTTACCTGAATCCTGGGAAATGTGGAAGCTTATGTGCCAGCTTCACGAGTTCAAGCTGCTGTGCCTGTAGCTCAAAAATTCGTTTATCTCAAATTCAACGAAGCCACTAGGCAAAACCATATTCGTCCACCTCTCGATCATATGACTGCAGCTTGTGCAAAATGATGGCATCATCTCCTGAAGTTAGGATGCAATTATTAGTACAAAGGTTAATTGCATTTGGAAACTTCTGATGTCCAGAACAAGTTATCTCCCTTTTATTTGTACGTGTACCATATGGGGTTTTTCTTCAATGCACCTATGAGAGAATACATTACAAGTTCTCTCCGAAACAAACTGAAATATCAGGAGACCTATCTGCAATACATTAAATGTTATATGACACCCATGTCACATGAATAGATAGCGAAGAGGTAACTCTTTTGGACATCATAATACACAGGGGTGTAAATGCAATTAACCTATGATAAACCCCAATTTTATCTTATACTTCAGCGCTGTGAAAAGGCAGAGTTTGTGTTACATTGATCTAAGATTACCGATACTTGAATTATGAAATACCTAAAGTCTTCCAAAAAAAACATATGTGCGCATATAACTTGATCTCTATCAAGTCTAAGCAAGTCAAGCTATATACCATAACTTAATTAAACAATAATGCAAAAGGCTTGGGCTTTGTTTGTCAAATTATATGAACTAGCTTGAAATGATATTACAAAGTTGACCGTGGTGTTATGCATCAAGTTTATCAATAAAATACAATGGCAACCCACAAAAATATTTACTTCATGGGTCCTAAAAAACTTACTTCATTACTGTGCGCGCGCGCACGTGTGTTTGATTATGTGCTCCATAATCCCAAACGCTCGTCTACAAAACTGATTGGATCCAGTATTTTCATTCGTCGAAAACAAACATATACCATAAAACAATCAGATATCTATAGTATTCACAACCACCACCATCAAGACGTTGGTTTCTCCAATCATGAGTGTTTTAAAGCAAGTTCTTTAAACATTGATAGTTAGTTAGAAATAAATCCAGCGAAAACTTTAGATTTCGCCAAGTCATCATTATTTTAAAGATTTTTAAGGTGACAGTCCCTTAAATCTTCAATAAATTGCTTATTAGTCCCTCATATCCTATCGGGTCTTCCAAAATGGTCGCTCTGGTTAACTCCTTTTAGATTTGAGGGGAATATTCCCCTCAACTTTAGCGGCTTGAGAGAGAGTTTTTGCTTCACGCCTCTTTTTAAGTTTTCCAACATATTTGGTAGCGGGTTATCCACCAATACCCGGATCCAGAACATCCGAACCGCCCAAACCCATTTGCGGGCGTCTCAATGGACGTCATACCCTCTCTAAAATGTATATAGCCTTAAAAAAACGATGGGTATATGCATGGTAATAGGAAGTGTTGGGCTGAGAAGTTAACCCCAACCATGGGTTGAAAGTTTAACTGTACTAACAGAAGTACCAATTTGTAAGACTCTTGGGATTTGAAGGACTAATGAACAGTTTTAATGGTTTGACGGATTAATTCAGAATTATTGATGATATGAGCCATGAGGGGTTAATATCTAAAACATCCCTCTAATCAAAATACGTGAGAGAGAGAGTACCGAAGCTCTGAATCAGTTGAGAGGCAATGGGCAGAGCGCGGGGAGCGATCCCATTGTGTAGATCCATGGGCTTGGACCTTGCCCCAAACTCCTTCGAATCTCCGAACAGAAACTTGCATGGACGGCCCATTAGGCCTTGATTCCTCAACTACTTCTCTATCATCTTGGGCCTCCGCCAAAACTTGTACGCTCCTCTCGCAATCAAGTGAAAGAGCAGGTGCCTCTACCTTAGTTCTTCTTTCCTTCTTACCAAAAATTATATATAACGGTTTTTCTATAGAGTGCTCATGAGCACTCTATAAGAGAGGAGAGAGATGAAAAGAAATGAATAGCTCATGGGCTCTCCCTGATTTGCATTATTTTCTGTGTATAATTCATTTCTCTCTATATCTCTCATCTCTTATAGAGTACCCATGGACACTCTATAGAAAAACCCCTATATATAATTAGCATCAGTGCACTAACCTATGCATTAATGCAATCGCTTATCACAACTATGTTAATAAAAATATAGTGATTAAATATACGTAAATTGGGACTTACTTTATATTTGAGGGGCCTACTTTAAATTATGAAGTTCTGAAGGACTTACTCTCCTTTAAGATGAAAATAATCCTGTAAGCACTTCTAGTAAAATCTGAGAATCAAAGGTAAAAGCCAAAAGCGAAGCATCCCGAAAAAAAAAAAGCAAAAAAAAGTTAGGTCATCAAATCCCCTTTTTTCTTTCCTCCATCTTTTCTCTCCTCTGAATCTGATCACGGAACCCCTCTTTCCTCGAGTCCCGTCACCGCCCCAACCTCAAAACCCTAAATGTGCGCCTGCGTTAGCTTCACCGTCCACCTCGACCGGTGCTATCACCGCT